ATGGCGTACGAAGACGTAAAACATTCGCAGAAATTACATTTGTTTCCTGCAAAAATTAGCTGAAAAGCAAATAATTTAATGAAGAACCATCCGTGCAAGACGGGCAGTGATCACGAAAATATCGATGCCTGTTTGTACTCAAAAAAGCGCTGCTATGAAATGACAATTTTTCGAAGTAAACGAAAAAGCGACCACTCCTTGGTAAATGCAAAGATTAATTTCAGTTCCATTGTTCAGGACAGAAATGTTGCACTTGAAAGTGAGAATAATCTCTGCCACATTACCAGAAGCAACATACTGGGTAGAGCTTTCTCAACGACAGATTGAACAGAAAACTGGCACGGGCTTGTAAGACACGTGGCGCCGTGCACGAACAAATGCTCTATTACGACGCATTCTGCAAAGAAATTGGAAATTTTCACCTTTAAATAAACTTCAACATCTATTTCGAGGAAGTGGCCCTTCTCAGCATCATACGTAGAAAGCAGACGCTCCTCAGCTGCCATCACCCAGAGCAATCGAAGCGGTTGCAAGTAGGCCCTTAAATATGCACAAAATGTGATAAAAAAGCAGCAGCTATCTCAAAGCGTCCCCACCAAACTGTCAAGTTCCAGCATTACTAAGATGTGTTCCGCAACAGCTATGTCATATTTTTCGGCCAAAACTGTGTATATCCTATCATATCCACTGCAGACGTAAGCAGTCTCTTTTATTAGCTTTCTTTTTTTAAAAATACCATTCAGTAAGCTCCCGAAATGTCAAACGAGAGTTGCCAATAATTGAGCCAGACTTTCATTTACCGACCATATTTGACATCAAAAACTACAGACTGCGCTTAAAATTCTCATGAAATTTCATCGCCCTGCTAGGACGCAACTTCATAAAAACAGATGATGGAACACTATGCAGACACAAAATTTCAATCAGCAAAAAGCTTAAATTTTAACTAAAATTATTCCACTGCAGCATAAATTCCCAAAAAGCAGCCTGACTTTTGCATTTGATCAGGCTGGCCACAAAAATGGCACTAAATGAAAAGTCTCACCAGCTAATTTTTGGTATACGATTTTTATTTAAAAGAAGAAATAAAAAGACGCGATTAAATAGAGTCTGTCGAAAACAAATAAATCTTAAGTACCGTTTCAGCACCGAAGCCAAATGCCGTATGACAGTGAAACTGTAATATGCAGTTTCGAAACAGCAGATTTCAAAAGACGCTTGAATTTCCAATCAAAAAATTCACCCCTGCAGAGCAGGAGGAAAAGTATAGTTCTGCAAACCAAAGAAATCTTTTTTACTTGACCTGGCTGGTCCGGGTATTATGAGCTGGGCCAATTTCGCACACTAACAATAACCTGAATATAAAATCGCTCATAAAACAAAATTACCTCGAAAATAACTTGCCTGTTGTCGCTGATTCGATGAGGGCTAATGGGAAAGAAGGCAATAACCAAGGCGGCGATTGATAAATCATCAGTCTTGAACGCATACCTGCAAGAAAACCCTTTGAAAATGCGTCAGTGTATGATCATCTGTTGAATCGCTTGTGTGCCGAACAGGCACTTTTTTGTGTACACGTCAGCTAACGACTGATTCACAGTGAATTTTATGAAGCATTCCTGAAAATATGAAAATGGCGACACGCACCAGATCAGCCAGTGCGATTAGCCAGCAT